CTACAGCAACTAGTGGATATACCCTGGGAGATTCTAGGGAGTGGCTATCCTGAATCTCTTTTGCTTCTCACACTCCCCTTGAGGACTGTATTGCCTCTTGTTCCCCTCCTGGAATGCAACCCCTCCCTCCTGATAGCCTTGATCTCCCACATCACTCTCCTCCTCATAGATACATTCCATCACATGGGTACATGTTACAGAATACAAGATCCCTAGGATCTCATACTCTGTAGCGGGGCTCCTCAGGAGAAAAAACAATGGGGGCGGGAGTGACTTGCAACTTTATCCACCAGCTTCCGCATTGTACGAAACTCTGGGTGGCTTACAACCAAGAGATAAGGCCCACAGATGACTATGTTTTAAAATATTAAAACCAAAAATATTAAAACCAAAAAAACCTGGCCTATCCCAGCACTTGGGGGGAAAGCCAAGCCTTGAGTGCTTTTCAGAAGGTTAAAAGGGTCAAATTTCAGGGGGAAGGGTGTTCCATAGGGCAGGGGCTGCCACGGAAAAGGCAAGCTTCCTAGGTCCCATAAGATGGCAACGTTTAAGGGAGGGGACTAGGAGTGTGCCTACCCTACCCAATCTGGTAGGAAGGGCAGATGTCCTTAGGGAGAGGCAGTCCCGCAAATAACCTGGTCCCATGACATATAGGGCTTTAAAGGTAATAACCAGCACCTTCAATTGGAAGGAAACTGAGAGCCAGTGTAGCTCGCCAACAGGGGTGTAACATGGGTGAACCTAGGGGCACCCATCATTGCGCACAACGCCACATTCTGGACCAGTTTCCTGGTGGTCTTCAAGGGCAGCCCCATGTAGAGCGCACTGCAGCAATCCAAGCAGGAAGTGACCATGAGTAAGGCCACCTGGTCCAGGAAAGGGTGCAACTGACACACAAGACGAATCTGTGCAAAGTCCCCCCTAGCCACAGCTGCCACCTGCTCCTCGAGCAGAAGCCATGAGTGCAGGAGGACCCCCAAATTGCACACCAGCTCAATCCAGAGTCAAAGATGATATTTCACCTGGGCCTGGGGGGGGGGGGCAAAGTCCCAGAGCCACTCTGTCTTGCCAGGGTTGAGCCAAAGCCGGTTTCTCCCCATCCAGACCCTTACCACCTCCAGGTACTCAGCCAGCACTGCAACAGCATCACCTGTCTGGCAAAGGTAGAGATATATAGCTGGGTTTCATCAGCATACTGATGATACCACACTTTATGCCATCGGATGACCTCCCTCAGTGGTTTCATGTAGATTTTAAAGAGGAGAGATGAAAGACTTGGCTTGTATGATGATTTGTATGTTCTGGAGGGTTCTGACTTAGACAGACCTTGGCAGCATGGTTGCTGTCATTATATTGGTTGTTATTATTACTGTTCTATTTATTTGTGTCATTGCTCTTCTTTTAAATTGTTGTTAGTCGCCCAGAGCTATGCAATGAGATTTAAAGCCATATAAGCCCTATAAATAAATAAACTTGGATGTTAGAGAAAACTTCTGAAAATACCATGGACAGCCAAGAAAACAAACAAATGGATTATAGAACAAATCAGTCCAGAATTCTTGTTTGAGGCATGTTATCATATTTTGGACACATTACACAAAGACCTAGCTCTCTTGAGAATTATATAATGCTGGGAAAGGTGGAAGGAAAGAGATGACTAGCAGCAAGGTGGATAGACTCAGTTACAGTGGTGATGGGTGTACCATTGGAAGCCCTGAAGGGCCAGATTAAAGGCAGTTCATCCTCGAAAAGGCACATCCATGTGGTCACTAAAAGTCAATAATGACTTGATGGCACATAATTAATCTATCACTATTTTAATGCTTTTTTTTTTTTTTAATCTGCGCTCAGTCGTTACGGACTCTGCAGTGACTGCTTGGACGAGTCCTTGC